ACTTGGGGATCTAAAACACTAGGTTAATTATGCTATGCATTAACTGCTCCTCCTAACTACTCACAACACAGTACCCAAAACACCAGGTTAATTATGCTATGCATTAACTGCTCCTTCTAACTACCCACAACACAGTACCCAAATTCCTCAGTGCTATATCCAAAGGCTTCCATGACCTATTTGTCTCATCTCTTGCTAAACTTTGCATCACACTTTGTCTGCACCAGCTGTCTGCACCAAACTCTCCCCGTAGTTTTCCTCCATAATTTTGCTTGTGTGAGTCACTTCGCTGAAATACCTCCCCAATTTACACTAGCTCAGTGGCTGGCTGTCACACTTCTTGGCCCATAACCCACGCTAAGACATTCACATAGCAGTCACTGAAATCTGTATGTCTACATGGCAAACAAAAGTATCATAAAAGAAAATCTGCCCTTCATATCATGCAATCTATTCTATTCTTTCTTTTTTTTAAATACAGGTCATGACCACTAAATTGACTTCATGGCCCACTAAGAGGTAACTACCCAGTTGGAAAACACTGATCTAGCTCACTCTTACTTATCTGTTGTGATTCACTTTAGGAAGCCTCACCTGAAGGTGAGGTTAGGTGAATTTCTTCTAAGAGACTAGCACAGCGTATCTTTATACATACCAATTATATTAAAATTACCTGTTTTATGTCTTTGTCTCCCCACTTCTCAGGGTAGAAAACCTATCTTATTCATCTTTATACTAATTTGGCTCATAATTAAACTGAATTAGGATATTCTAGCTATTAAAAAAAAGAATGACTTCACTGGAAAGTATTGGGATTTTTTAAGTTTTCTTAAAACAGTATCAAGTAGCTGTTCTGAAATTCAAGCAAATAAAGGGCAAGTTTTACGTTCATTTGAACCTACTATAAATAATAGAATGAAGAAGGTCAAGGCTTAATTTACATAGACAACTACTGATTTAAGATTCTCATGCTGGCTTTACTAAAATAAAACGGTAAATTCAAAGTTAGTATGTTAACTGCATTACAAAGAGATCCAGAACTCAAAGTAATATATTCACCATTTTGATTAGCCCTATGTTATTAAACCACTCCAAAAAACTTGCCATTCAGGATTTTCAAAATAACATTTAAGACAATTGAGAAAGACATATCAAGGCATATTTATCTGTCTATATGAAAGAGCAGTCATAAAAATTATAAGAAAAGCATAATTTCACATTGGCCTACAACAGCAGGGACTATCAACCTTAAAGATGTATTTATTCCTGTTACTGATATCTTCAATCCTACAGAAACAGGGATGCAGTCAACATTTCAAAAGACCTTGCAAGCTAGGTTCAATGAAACAATTCAGTGAAAACAACACCTAATGCAACCAAATTTAACTGTAAACTTAAGCTAAAAGTCAAGAAATGCAGACTCTCATCATCCCCAAACTGTGTTTATTTGCTCCAAATGCCACATCTGATAGAAAGCAACTGTTAATCATTCTTATTAGCAATTCAAAAGACCATACATTAATGTCAGAAAACTTTTATAATTGCCACCTCTTTTTAATGTTAATTTTTAATTAAATTTTCATGAACTTCTTCCCTTTACAGCTTTGAATTTTGACAACTGGAGGCTGGGGTGGGGTAAGGGGCAGTGAGTGGGAGCTATGAGTGGCAAGACATGGTGTAAGCATTACTACAGGAAAACAGACCATCTGTTCTAAGAGTTCCAGACTTCAAGAGAGTGATCAGTTGTTCCTGTTGTGCTAAATTTTAATATGATGGCCTTCTGACATCACATAACACTGAGCACTATCACCCCCTATAGACAACAGCCAACAGACCAAAGAAGTCCTTGCTCGTCTATTAATGCTGTTAGCTCAGGCAAAAATCATCCGCATCGGGAACTTCAGCCTCATCTCTAGGACAGAAAAATAATCTTTTTTTTTTTGAGAGACGGTGTCACTGTCATACAGGCTGGAGTGTAGTGGCACCATCACAGCTCACTGTAGAGCCTTGACTCCAAGTTCAAGGAACCCCCTGCCTCAACCTACTGAGTAGCTGGGACTACAGGTGTGCATCACCATAACTGGCTACATTTATTATTATTATTTTTGTACAGATGGGATTTCACTATGTTGCTCAGGCTGGTCTCTAACTCCTGGGCTCAAGCAATTCTCCCACCTCAGCCTCCCAAAGTGCTGGGGATTACAGGCATGAGCTACTGCAGCCAGCTGAGAAATAATCTTATATGCCACTAGCATGTGATTGTCCTGAAGCAAAAAGAAAGATACATAAAATAACCTGACAAATTATAAAACCCTTATGATATGACAATAATACACTATTCTAGTCTCTCATATTCTTACATACTGAAAACTAATTTTACACATGGCAAAGCAGCTATTAAGATTTGAAAATTGGTACAGGATTTAAACTCCAAGTATCCCTATACAGCAGCCATCACAAAGGCTGTGTGTTTTTGTACATTTTGTTTTTATACAGAACATTACATTTTACCAGGGCACCCAAGTCTTTGACATTCTAACTTGTTGATCGTTGCACTAAAAGATTCCATTCTTGCCACTTCTCCAGTAGCCTAGAAAAAGTCAACTTTAGAATATATCCATGTTCTCATTTGCTAGTCCTTCAAGGACAGGACTCTGAAAGCAACCATCACCTCTACCTTACCATACCATTTAGGTTCTAACTTCCTTAGGACCTCATTTCTCAGGGTGGAGAAAATCCACTTCTCAATGTCAGGTTTAGAAAGTCAAACACACTTGTTAAAATGATGTTCAAGAAACTATAGTAATCAGTATCTAGAACCTTATCTCCAAAAAATGCAGAATGACCTGAGTTAGGCCATCAAGAGTTAATTACTACTCCTTCTTCCAAGAGGCCTCTTGCAATTGAAGTTGAAAAATTGGGGGCTGTGAAGGGCATACACAGAAAGAAAAAAGCTTCAACTCAACCCAATATCAGAGCTTCAAAATCTGCACTATTCAAACAGTAGCCACTTGTACTTACTGAGCACTTAAAATGTGGTGAGTCTGAATTCAGATGTGCTGTATTAAATGCATGCCAGATTTCAAAGACTTCCAAGTAAGAATATGAAATATCTCATTAATAATTTTTTTTTTTTTTTTTTTTGAGACATGGTCTATGTCGCCCAGGCTGGAGTGGAGTGGCACAATCTTGGCTAACTGCAACCCCCACCTCCCAGGCTTCAGTGATCCTCCCACCTCAGCCTCCCAAGTAGCAGGGACTACAGACACATACCACTATGCTTGCCTACTTTTAGTAGAGATGGCGTTTCACTGTGTTGCCCAGGCTGGTCTCAAACTCCTGGGCTCAACTGATCCACCTGCCTCAGCCACTCAAAAGTGCTAGGATTACAGGTGGGAGCCACTGTGCCCGGTCTCATTAACAATTTTTATACAAAATTCATACTGATACTATCTTATATATATTGGATTAAATTAGATGTACTAAAAATAATTATTAAAATTTATTTTACCATTCCTATCTTTTTAATGTGGCTAGTAGAAAAGTTTATATTACATATGGGCTTATAAATTTCTATTGGACAGTGAATTTTTAGCAATTTTCACTCTCTCCAATTAAAAAAGATAGTGAAGCATCGGTATAACCAAACCTGCATTTAAGCCCTCTACTTAAAGTCTGCCTAAAAGAACCTAAAAGAATCAACATATTCTGGGCCATTTATCTCTGGCACATACCTAAAAAGCCATCATCTAATTTCAAGAACAGGAAAGTAGCTTTGAGAATAAGCTAATACAAGGTGAGTCATGTAAAAGTAATGGTTCGTCTATCTTCTTGCATCAGAATTAACTTGTGGAGCTTTTACTAAAAACATAGATGGTCATCCCACCCAGAGATTCTAATTCAGTAGGCTGCAGGTAGAACCCCAGCATGTGTTTTAAAGCTCCCCAGGTGAATCTAATAGATAGCCAGTGCTGTTTAGGTCATATTTCTACATATACTACTAAATATATTTATGAAAGTGCTACTAAAATTCCCACAGACTTTGCAATGCTACTGTGTGGCTGCTTTATAGCAACATCAGTAGATGACATTAAGAACAGATACTAATAAAACTGTGGCAACAGCAAGAAACTACTGGAGTCAGGCACTTAGCTAAAGCCATTTCCTATGCTCCTTCCAGACAGGTTTTGCAACATGCACAATGGAGGTAACTCCTATTTCCTTCTTCCTTCAGTTCTCATGAAAGCACTTATACCTAGGAAGGAAACAGATCTTGGTGGTTACAAGCTGGGCTCTAAAATCAGACTGCGTAAGTTTGAAACCCAGCTCCCTAGTTAGCAGTTACAGAAACACAGGCAAAGCACTTCACATGCCTAAGAATCTGTTTCCTTTTCCACACAGCAAGTCAAAATGTACGTACTCATTAAGTCAGTAGGACCAGTCCTATAATGTATGGAAAGTACTTAGCACAGCATACAGAAAAGCCATGCTTTTTATTGCAGTCAACTTCTTGCCTTTTCCAGTGATTTAGCTATATTTTTGGATCACCCATATGTAAGCTTTTCTTTTTTCTTTTAATATTTCTTTTTTTTTTTTTTTTTTTTTGAGACAGGGTCTCACTCTGTTGCCCAAGCTAGAGTGGCATGATCATAGCTCACTGCAGCCTCAAACTCCTGGGCTCAAACAATCCTCCTACCTTGGCCTCCCCAAAAGATTACAGGCTGGGTACACCCAGCCAAGCCTTTCTTCCAACAATGAAAACATACAGACGGCACCGTGGCTCACACCTATACTCCCAGCATTTTGGGAAGCCAAGGATTGAGCCCAGGAGTTTGAGACCAGCCTGGGCAACACAGAGAGACCCTCTACTTATTTTTTTTTTTCTTAAAAAATAATTAAAACAACAAGGAAAATATCCAAATGTAGGCTTAAAAAGTTAACTCTCTACTTCTCCATTTATACAGGTTTCCAGATCAAGAAAAGGTATCCTAATCTCTCACCTGTCAGATTCTTCAATCCTTCTGTGAAAAGTGACTGGAATTCGGGAGACTGCAACTTCATTGTAAATAGATACTGCTTCAGAAGGCACAGCCTATTCCACCTACAGCTCAGTACTGGCCTGTGCCAATGATACAGGCACCTCAGCATCTGGAGAGGTGGTCACCAGCTACACATCTATAAGGCAAACACACAGGCATACCAATGAAATTAAAAGTGAAGGAAAGTGAAGGAAAATAAAGGGACACATTGCAAGTTTATCAACTCAGAAACTCATCTCTTGTTCAGATAAAAAAACTGAAAAAGGTGTCAATTTGAGGGATTAAGACTAGATCTATGTATCTACCTGGTTTTGTTCTCCAGAAGCACTTACTGTGGCAGGCAGGGTCTAACTAACGCAAGCCTCCGTAATAACTGTTTCAGTACTGAGTGGTTGAGTTTCATATTAAAAGGTGAAAAAGCTAGCCAGTGCCTTAAACAAGGGTGGAATGTAACAAAAGCCCAGCAAGAGTTTTGCCTAAGACTTTTCGGACCTTGAAGCATGATAAACTAACAAAGGAATTTTTTTTTTTTGGAGATGGAGTCTCCTCTATCGCCCAGCCTGGAGTGCAACGGCACGATCTCTGCTCACTGCAACCTCCGCCTCCTGGGTTCAAGTGATTCTCCTGCCTCAGCCTCCCGAGTAGCCAGGATTACAGGCGCACGCCACCACATCCGGCTAATTTTTTATACTTCTAGGTACAGACAGGGTTTCACCATGTTGGCCAGACTGCCCTCGAACTCCTGACCTCAAGTGATCTGCCCGCCTCGGCCTCCCAAAGTGCTGGGATTACAGGCGGGAGCCATCGCGCCCAGCCACAAAGGAATTCTTAACAGGACCCGTTTAGAATTAAACAAGTTTTACTGGGGATCCGAGGAAACTCCCCAGGCCTCTACAAACAAGTTTACTAGCGGTCTGAGGGAACTCCCCAAACCTCCATGATTTAGCAGTAGAGAATATAAGGGTAATCACCCCAGCACCTGGACCCATTTAGATTAATTTACTAAGGCTCCTGAGGAAGGTCTTCAGGACGCAGATCTTATAGATAATTCGTTAATCACTTATGTCTTTAGATGAATGCAACACTTACACATACACAGATAGCTTAGAAGGTATATAAGCTCTGGAAAACTTCGTGATTCTGAGTTGGTCTGGGATATTTTCCAGGCCTTCTCCCTGTACCCGGTTACATAAATAAACTCCCTTCTTTCCTAGTTTATCTGCATCTGGTTATTGGGCGGCGAGAATAAGCAGCCTAACCCTCGGTTTGGCGGTTTGGTCGGGGAGTATTACCACTACACTCGCGTGCCACATGGTACTGTGATGGCACTCTCCCCAGAGCAGGGCTTCAGTCAGTATGTGAAGGGTGCGGGGTTCTAGAAACTCTATCCGAGTTTCTGGACTCCAGAACTTGTCATGGTCACACGTGTCACATAAGCCCTCCGGTCCTATGAAATTATTCGGCACAAATATCACCCTACTTCCCCATCTGCACTCGAGAATTCATGACCCTGGGATAGCGCCTAGGAATTGTATTTTCCCATGAATTAATTAGTTTTGCTGCCCCCATTTTCCTCATTATTTTCCTGCCATCTTGCAATCTCCTCTGATTTCCAGCACACCCTGCCTTCCCTTCTATGTATCACATCCTCGTTCCCCGCATACAGGGGTTCTGCCCATAAGGAGGCGACAGCAGCTCTTCAGTGGCCCCGGTGTAAACCTGCAAAGAAATACCATTCCATTCCACGGAAGCGGGCTGGAGGAGCTGCGCTTCCCAGCAGGCCACGTGGGACCCACTTAGTTTCCGTGCACCTCCGCCTCAACTCAGGAAAACGCTCTGAGGACCCCCGCCCTGAAAAGGCGCGTCCCGCCCCCCAGGCCGGGTGCTGGCGACAAGGCCCAGTGAAAAAGCGTCTCGGGGTAGTCCGCGCGGAGGCGAAAGTGCTGAGGAAGCCAAGGAATCCGCGCCTGCCGTCGCCAGAAACGTGGCGGGGACACGACCTCCGCGTCGGAGCTCTTATGCCCAGTGCTGAGGAGGCCTCTGGCCACTTCCCACTCCCGCCTTCCTCGAGGACTCAGGGCGGCGGCTCCCCTGGCCCACCGCAGGAAGGAAGGGGCGGCAACCCACGCCACCAACTCTGCCCCTCTGAGCGGCGCGAGCCTGCTTACCGGCCCCGCTGCCGCCGTCGCCGTCGCCGCCACGCGCACTTCCGGGACGGTGAACGCGGTGACGTCGCCAACGCACATCGGCGGGCAGTGAATGGGAAGTCGCGGCAGGGCGAGGGCGGAGGCGGGGCTCGGACCGAAGGGCTTCCGGCTTCCCTCGCCCCTCCCCACGGTGAGGCTAAACTCTGAGCCGGTTTCTCCGCCCCGCCGAGGCCCGCTGGGGTGAAGCGGAGCCTCGGGGGACCCTGAGGAAACCGAAGCGCGTACGTTTAATTGCGCGCCTCTTACTGCACCTCTGGCTGGCCCTGAGCTGCTCAGAGGCCCATCTGCGCGGTATGCCTGTGCGATCTGGGACAACTGGCAGCTGTCTTCCTTTTCAAAATGAGACTGTTAATAAAACCTACCCCGGGGTAGGACGGATTGTTCGGTAAATGTTATTTTATTCTTGTTTAACTATTCTGTACTCTAATCTCTGCATAGGGTTAAGTCCACAGTTGACAGAGTCACACGCATCCGAAATCTAAGCCCTCCGGTCCTATGAAATTACTCGGCATATTTTATTTTCTTACCTGGTTTGTGTAACCATTGGCCTCCTTGGCCTGGAGGCTTCCCAGCTGTAAAGTGGAGAACTTAGATTTGAGTCAATTCATTAATTTTTTCTAGAGCGGAGAAGAGCAAAGAGAGTGGCAAAGGAGTAGGAATACAGCCCTTGAGCCCTTAAAGTGCGAAAATGTGTAGTGTGTGTGTGTGTGTTTGTTTATGAGCCGGAGTTTCGCTCTTGTTGCCCAGGCTGGAGTGCAGTGGCATGATCTGGGCTCACTGCAACCTCCGGCTTCCGGTTTCAAGCTATTCTCCTGCCTCAGCCTCCCGAGTAGCTGGGATTACAGGTGTCTGCCACCACGCCCAGCTAATTTTTATTAGAGACGGGGTTTCACGATGTTTGCCAAGCTGGTCTCGAACTCCTGACCTCGTGTTCCACAGGGCTTGGCCTCCCAAAGTGGTGAGATTACAGGTGTGAGCCACTGTGCCCGGCTGAAAATGTGTAGTCTTTTAACTGTAACTTTACATCACTTAGCTTTCCCTAAAATTTTCCTAGAAAAATGTATGTGCATGGTGTTTCTGTTCTTTTGCCCACCCCACATGCCTACCTGTTCTTCCTAAACTTTTCAGCCCCACTCTCCGTAGACTCCCTAAAATGTACAAACGTTTTACTAAAAAGTAAAATGTTCAATTACCACACCTCTTCAAGGTGTTAAATATCCTGTTTCTGGAAGCACAGGACTGGCTTTCCAAATTGACATTCAGATGCACAGCATTGATATAATTCGGTGCCTTAACAGAACAAGGAAAGCCCCAAATCATCCTTTCAGGCTTGTCTCCTGTTTCTCCCCACCATGACCCTAGACAAACTGGACCAAACTCTCCGTTGCTGTACCCCCCTGGAATAGATTCTCCAAATCACCACCAATGAAGGCAACACTAATATAACTATTATAACTTATTTCGTACCACTTACTGTGCTGGGCACCCTCCACAATTTCTGGCCTTGTAAATATATAGTTTATATATACATGTGTATATACAGTTGTCCCTCGTATCCATGGGGTATTGGTTCCAGAACATCACCCCAACCAGTGTTCAAGTTCTTTATATAAAATGGCATAGTATTTGCATATAGCCTATACACATTCTATAGTGTCAGGCCTCTGAGCCAAAGCTAAGTCATCATATCCCCTGTGACCTGCACGTACACATCCAGATGGCTGGTTCCTGCCTTAACTGATGACATTCCACCACAAAAGAAGTGAAAATGGCCCGTTCCTGCCTTAACTGATGACATTACCGTGTGAAATTCCTTTTCCTGGCTTATCCTGGCTCAAAAGTTCCGCCGCTGAGCACCTTGTCACCCCCCACCCCTGCCTACCAGAGAACAACCCCCTTTGACTGTAATTTTCCTTTACTTACCCAAATCATATAAAACGACCCCAACCCTATCTCCCTTCGCTGACTCTTTTCGGACTCAGCCTGCCTGCACCCAGGTGATTAAAAAGCTTTATTGCTCACACAAAGCCTGTTTGGTGGTCCCTTCACACGGACCCGCATGACATTTTGGTGCTGTGACTCAGAGCAGAGGACCTCCCTTGGGAGATCAATCCCCTGCCCTCCTGCTCTTTGCTCCGTGAGAAAGATCCACCTTGGGTCCTCAGACCGACCAGCCCAAGGAACATCTCACCAATTTTAAATCTGGTAAGCGGCCTTTTTTTGCTCTCTTCTCCGACCTCTCTCACTATCCCTCAACCTCTTTCTCCTTTCAATCTTGGCGCCATATTTCAATCTCCCTTCTCTTAATTTCAGTTCCTTTCCTTTTCTAGTAGAGACAAAGGAGACACGTTTTTATCCATGGACCCAAAACTCCGGCGCCAGTCACGGACTCTGGAAGACAGTCTTCCGTTGGTGTTTAAATCACATGGGGATGCCTGCCTGATTATTCACCCACATTTCAGAGGCGTCTGACCATGCAGGGATGCCTGCCTTGGTCCTTCACCCTTAGTGGCAAGTACCACTTTTCTGGGGGGCAAGAACCCCCCCAACCCCTTTTCTCCCTGTCTCTACCCCTTCTCTGCGTTTCTGGGAGGCAGGAACGTCCCGACCCCTTTCCCACTTTTCTGGAGGGCAAGAACCCCCCGACCCCTTATCTCCACGTCCCACCCCCTTTCCCACTTTTCTGGAGGGCAAGAACCCCCCCAACCCCTTCTCTCCATGTCTCTCTCTTTTCACTAGGCTTGCCTCCTTCACTATAGGCAACGTTCCACCCTCCATTCCTCCTTCTTCTCCCTTAGCCTGTGTTCTCAAGGACTTAAAACCTCTTCAACTCACACCTGACCTAAAACCTAAATGCCTTTATTTCTTCTATAGTGCCGCTTGACCCCAATACAAACTCAACAGTAATTCCAAATAGCCAGAAAACGGCACTTTCGATTTTTCCATCCTATAAGATCTAAATAATTCTTGTCATAAAATGGGCAAACAGTCTGAGGTGCCTGACGTCCAGGCTTTCTTTTACACATCAGTCCCTCCTTAGTCTCTGTTACCAATGCAAATCGTTCCAAATCTTCCTTCTTTCCCTCCCGCCTGTCCCTTCAGTCCCAACCCCAAGTGTTGCTGAGTCTTTCTAATCTTCCTTTTCTACAGACCCATCTGACCTCTCCTGTCCTCGCCAGGCCGAGCTAGGTCCCAATTTTTCATCAGCCTCTGCTCCCCTACCGTATAATCCTTTTATCACCTCCCATCCTCACACCCTGTCTAGCTTACAGTTTCGTTCCTCGACTAGCCCTCCCCCACCTGCCCAGCAATTTCCTCTTAAAAAGGTGACTAGAGCTGAAGACATAGTCAAGGTTAATGCTCCTTTTTCTTTATCTGACCTCTCCCAAATCAGTTAGTGTTTAGGCTCTTTTTCATCAAATATGAAAAACCCAGCCCAGTTCATGACTCATTTAGCAGCAACCTTCAACCCTGAGACACTTTACAGCCCTAGACCCTAAAAGGTCAAAAGGCCGTCTTAGTCTCAATATACATTTTATTACCCAATCTGCTCCCGACATTAAATAAAACCCAAAAAATTAAATTCCAGCCTTCAAACCCCACAACAGGACTTAATTAACCTTGCCTTCAAGGTGTACAATAATAAAGTAGAGGCAGCCAAGTAGCAATGTATATCTGAGTTGCAATTCCTTGCCTCCACTGTGAGACAAACCCCAGTCACATCTCCAGCACACAAGAACTCCAAACGCCTGAACCGCAGCTGCCAGAGGTTCCTCCAGAACATCCTCCCCCAGGAGCTTGCTTCAAGTGCCAGAAATCTGGCCTCTAGGCCAAGGAATGTCCTCAGTCCAGGATTCCTCCTAAACCATGTCCCATCTGTGTGAGACCCCACTGAAAATAGGACTGTTCAACTCACCTGGCAGCCACTTCCAGAGCCCCTGGAACTCTAGCCCAAGGCTCTCTTGACTCCTTCCCAGATCTTCTCAACTTAGTAGCTGAAGACTGACACTGCCCGATCACCTTGGAAGTCTACAGGACCATCCCAGACGCTCTAGGTAACTGTCACAGTGGAAGGTAAATCCGTACCCTTCTTAATCAATACCGAGGCTACCCACTCCACATTACCTTCTTTTCAAAGGCCTGTTTCCCTTGCCTCCATAACTGTTGTGGGTATTGATGGCCAAGTTTCTAAACCTCTTATAACTCCCCAACTCTGGTGCCAACTTGGACAACATTCTTTAGTGCACTCCTTTTTAGTTATCCCCACCTGCCCGGTTCCCTTATTAGGCCAAGACATTTTAACTAAATTATCTGCTTCCCTGACTATTCCTAGGTTACAGCCACACCTCATTGCCGCCTTTTCCCCCAGTTCAGAGCCTCCTTCGCATCCTCCCTTGTGTCTCCCCACCTTAACCCACAAGTATTGGATACCGCTACTTCCTCCTTAGAGACCAATCATGCACCCCTTACCATCTCATTAAAACTTAATCACCCTTACCCCACTCAACGCCAATATCCCATCCCACAGCACGCTTTAAAAGGATTAAAGCCTGTTATCACTCACCTGTTAGAGCATGGCTTCTTAAAGCCTGTAAACTCCCCTTACAATTCCCCCATTTTACCTGTCCTAAAACCAGACAAAGCTTACAGGTTAGTTCAGGATCTGCGCCTTATCAATCAAATTGTTTTGCCTATCCACCTCATGGTGCCCAACCCATATACTCTCCTATCCTCAATACCTCCCTCCACAACCCATTATTCTGTTCTAGATCTCAAACATAACTTTCTTTACTATTCCTTTGCACCCCTCATCCCAGCCTCTCTTCACTTTCACTTGGACTGACCCTGACACCCATCAGGCTCAGCAAATTACCTGGGCTGTACTGCCGCGAGGATTTACAGACAGCCCCCATTACTTCAGTCAAGCCCAAATTTCTGCCTCATCTGTCACCTATCTCGGCATAGTTATCGTAAAAACACATGTGCTCTCCCTGCTGATCGTGTCCGGCGAATCTCCCTAACCCCAATCCCTTCTACAAAACAACTCCTTTCCTTCCTAG